ATCCCGGCTTCCCACCCTTCACCGTGACCGAGGACATTGACAAGAAACCCTAGTACATCGACCAATCCAATTACAGGATGACCGTGAAATACCGAGGTCACCCGCTCGTTAGGGCGAGCCGTTTACGTAATGCGGAGGAATCGGGGGTCTTCCTTCAGTTTCAGCCCGCAAAAACAAGAAACACTGCGGGCAGTCCGTGGATGCAGTTTCGGCGATGACTTCTTAAAAGCAATCGCGTTCTGATTCTGAAAGGCCCTTGTGTCAAGTCTCGTATGAAGTCAGAACTGTGTGACCCCCGGGTAACGTTGTACGGCCTCGCCAGTCAAGTAACTGGGGCAATTAGCCTGAATTCCTCTAAGTTGTGAAAAGACCCGTGGACGTTTGTGAGCGGTTACCATAACTGCGAGTTTTGAAACGTCGTCATAGTAAAAAACGGAAGCGTAAATTCCATCTAGGTTCAGAGGGAATCACTCAAAGAACGCGGAACATTTTTATATGGCGACGTCGTTACTGCTTACAAGCCTCTGGGGAGAGTCCGCCTGTAATTGATTTTTCATATTAATTAGGCTTACCCCCGACAGGACTTCATAATCTTTATTTATTTTGTGCGCAAATAGTGCGTAGGCTCTTACACGCTGAAAATCGGCGCACTGATCCATGCCGAATTTTTGTTCGCCGAGGTCCTCGTGGCTTCAGAATTGTATGTAATACGAGCATTGCGCATGTCGGAAAAGTTATATTTATCCCTCGAGTCTTTTAACGGATTGCCATTAAATTTAGCATCTGCGCTCTAAATTGTTTGATCCACATCGGTCGACTTACATGCACCTCAGCTCGTCGTTCAAAATACTGAAGAACTTTTGTTTAGAACGTGCAGTGGAAATTATGTGAGTAGCCAAAGATGCGAGGTGCATGCAGCAAGATTGCGAACTTGAATGGATACGAAATTTTTAGTTTGAAAACTTTGAGAAAAACCAGCATTCGGGACTGCAGGCGTATGTAACAGGGCGATGCTTTACGTGGATATCAAAGGACCGAGTTAGTTACAGTGATAAATAGAAATGTGGAGTCAGGCATGTGATCGTGACCTTGGTTAAGCAACTTACCAACTGAAAAAGACCACAGCGCGAATGTGCGTGGCTTTCTACCTGAAGTGCACAAAGCAACGATTAAACACGCACAAGTGCAACCCATGGAAATTGTGACCCTACCTTGCGGCATGTCCGGTTGTTAAATGACGACCTTTCAACAAGCACAGGACGGCGAGCGACTCGCGACGCCTCTCATGGCCAACTGACTGCTTCTTCTTATTCTAACTCCGCCACCAGAAAGATCAATACCCGCCCACTCGCCTTCCCCCTCCCCGTGCAGCGCCACCGCCCCTTTGCCTGCACCTGCAAAGCTTCCTCGTTTCTTGTTCCTACAGGAATTTCTCATGCGTTAATTATCCCCCCACTCCAGGAAGTAAGAAAACTAACCTAACCACTGGCTCTCAGTCTTTTTTCGCTCACGATACAGTAAAACAAAGGTCATGTCCCGAGAGCGGTACCGCACCTAACTAATCTTCTTGAGAAGCTGATCGTTGCTCAGTTGGCAAGGAAATTCTCTGTCTTATATGAACACCGGAGGATCATTGACGCGTTCCCGAGACGGGAGCCTACGCTGAGCCAGATGAATCGACTTCACATTCCGTTTATCCGTTTTAATATTATCCCGTCATGTATGCCAGGGTCTCCCAAGTGATCTCTTCCATTCGTGTTTTCAAACAAAATTTTGTATACATTTATCCCGATTCCCACTGCCTTGGTTTTGCCTGCTTTATAATACGTAATTAACGAAGGGTGCACACCTTTGGCACCGAACAGTAACACCAAAACACCAGGCCTATGGTCCCGGTTTCGGGTGCCGACCCTCCGCTTGGCGTGACCGCCTGCTGGAGCGGCAACTTCTCCGTCGCGTCTGTACGGCAGGTAGTATAAAGACAAGGCTGCAGACGTAATTTGGCGTAGGTTCAAGACAGCGGCTGTCAGGAACAGCGTCCCACCGGTCGCCTCGTGGCAGGTTTGCGTACGGCATGAAAACAAGTGTCACGACTGACCTCCTGTGGTTTTCATGGAGCAGAATGTGATTGTTCTATCTCGCCCAGGGGCGATCCATGCGGGAAGAAGGTTAGGTGATAATATTAAAATAGACTATGGACGACAGTAGATTCGTCTAGCTCAAGATAGGGTCCAATGACGGGTCCGCCATCCTGAGCCAGTTGTACCCAGTCATTATATATTTAATATCCATTTTAATATTATCATATTGTGCGTGCCTGGGAATCGCAGGTCGTATGTTCCTTTACGGTCTCCGTTATGTGCACCTTCTACATGTCCCGTCCATCTCGTCCCTTTAAATAAAAGTTATTGGCGCTTATTTGCAAGCTCAAAGCGCCTGTCGCCTTGCCCACGGCCGTGAGTGAGCGAGCGACCTCCCAGTTGACCTTTTGACGGCAACCCGTTAAGCAGTCTCACCTTTCAACTCCGCCTCGCTGAAGTCCCGTTTCTGCAACGAGGGCTCCTGAAACAACACAAGAGCACGATGAAGACATCGACTCAACTCTGAAAGTCTGTGATGAATAATAGCAGGCTTTTGTGCACATGGTAATGAAGCCTTGAGGATGTGTGTTTCGCGGTGTTATACATAGGGATAATTTACATCGGACAATGCATTTGTTTAGAATTCTAACTAATCTCGCATAGGCAAAAACGTGTCTGAGGGAAGTTTGTCTACGAAATCATTGAACGAGCCTGCACCCCAGACTTGCAAATGTCAAGTAATCATTAGCGACGCGTGATGACTGCGCCTGTTTGTTATGTGCCGGGGCGGGACGCAGGGGAAATTGACCAGGGAGATGCGCGCGCACGTTCCATGTTTTGAAAGTTCTTGGAACGTTGCTGATCGTTCATACCTGGGATATACTTCGAACAGTATTAGCCGGGCCGGAAAATATTACAGACGTAACCTTCTCCACATGACGTCTTTTCTTCGTTTCGTGACAGTTATGTCTAATTTTAACCTAAAAGTCCGAGAAACGCCAATGTGACTTGTTCCGCTGTTGATGATGGCAAATGGCGCTCTGTTCCTCGCCGTCAGAGGCCGGTAACACCTGTGACTCAGCCTCTTCAGTCCCGAGGACGTCTCATCCCCACGGGGCTGATCGTCAGCCGAGTTTCGCTGGCTGGTCAAGGAACTATTTTTGCCGTCGGAGTGTTTCAGCCAGCCCCATTTGCTGGTTGCATTCTTTTACAGACTTCCCTACAGAACACTGAGAAACACGGGGCGTGATGTTTATTTTGGCAAAGTATTTTTACACGAACGTAAGTCATCTGTTCTGATTCGTACGCGTGTAAGCATTTCTGTTCGTGAGTCAGTTCCGTTTTAAAACCTGCATTCACTGCATTGCTTTTGTCTGTTTGGGAAATAATTTGCATGTGCTACCTGGGACCGGCGTTGGTGTGGGTGGGGCAGATGGACGCCCACGTGCGAAGCTTTTCTGGTCAACAAACTGAGAAATGTGCCGGCCTCGTAGTTTAGGCGTGTTGGGACTCAGCGGTGTCGAAGGGGCTGCAGCTGCCAGCGGTCTAATTTAGAAGCTGATTTGAGGTACGCGTAGGTCTCAGACTGGTTAAGAGTGCCTAGGAAAATCCTCGGCAACTTCACGGTGTTTGGACAAGAGTCCCATGAAGCTCAGTCTTGATCGAAGTAGCATTGTCTTCCGGAAGGAAGGAAGGAAGGAACCGCTGTCCGGAGGGGCGGGGCTTCTGTGCTCATCTGTGACGTACTGACCTTCCTCAAAGTCCTCCTCCTCAGCGCCATCTGTGTGAGGTGGGAAGCTCCGTGCACTCTCTGCAATACAAAGAAACAAACAAACAAGATATTGACTGTTCGCTGGGTACAGAAGGCTTCACAAAACGACGAGAAGAGATCTCGTGAGGTTCAGCGGAACGCAAGCATTCCGCTTAAATCAGCGTGGAATTTGGCGTTTCGCCCTGAGGCATGTTCTAGGAGGGAGGAGGGAGTCGGCAGACTCTCGGGAGGGCGAAAGAAAGAGCTCAGAGAGTTGTAAGAATGGAAGACGAAATCTTCGTGAGGTGGTGGGGGTGTATGGGGGAGTGGAGGAATAAGTCTGCACATGTCCTGATTGCAATCTGAAGTTGGCGAAACACCGCGCGTCTTTGTGGTCAGTCGTCCGCTTCACGTCGGCCCATTTGGTCTAAATACTCGGGAGCTAAGAAAACTGACAGTCGCTCAGCTAGTCAAAAAGTCCCAGCCCTTTTCCGAAACCCAAGATTAATTGCTGTGTTTGCGAGCCTCCGCCAGTGAACCCTGCCCTGAATCAATTGAATTCAGACCACACTTTCACTCTCTGCATATTAATGTTATCCTCCCATTGCCGGCTGAACATTGAAAGGGCTGTCTTGTCTCCATCTTGCGAGGTCGTCTGTGACATTTCGTGACTTGAGGGGGTTGTTGCACCTCCCCCCCCCGCCCTTTTCCTCTGCTAAATGACCCTTACTCGCGAATTTGATTCTGAGGATTACTCTGTAACCGCTGTTCACGCGTGATCACCCAAGTAACTAGAATTTGACGTCGATGTAGCGTCGTTAAATAACGTCCGATCTAAGTTAAGAACAAGCCACTTGTATCTGATTTTGAAAAAAGTTTTTCAATTCCAAAGTGTGGGCTGTCATAGCCTCTCCCCACCACTGACCATCTGTCGCCCTCCAAATAAGTGAAATTTGAAGCTGATACGAACTCATTTCGTCTCGAAAGACTTGCCCCTGTAAATTCTCACGGCAGTTGCTACTTCAGCACCGTGAAGTTCGGGGCGCGGGTGAAGTGTGAAGTGTGAAGACAGCTGTCACGAGCGTGCCATTTGAACTTGAAAATGGTCGAAGAATGAAAATAAATAGAGTCTCTGCCCTTGCCAGATTCTATATTTAAACACACTCCACTCGGCGTTGCCAAAACAGCAGTCCCAAATAAAATTTGGGGCGACCAAACAAACGCGTGTTTACATATTACATTATTTTGAAGCCGAAATAATAATTCGAAGGCAGCTGATGAGTGGTTTTTCTAGACAAATCAACGTTAGGTTCAGGAGAAATTGCAAGGAGATGAACATTCTTGGCACGTCAGAACGTGGGCTTTGAAGTTCAGAAACGAATAATTTTCTTAGTTTCGTCCGGAGAAAGAACAAGCCGCTGAGGTGAGCGTGTGCAGGCTGTTTGCGGGAGGGAGACTGCGTTCTGAACAGATTTTGTTCTCTTACATTTGTAAGGACGGTTAACGAAACTCCCATTTATTTTCTCTGGAGTGTTCTGGAGGGATATTTTGCATTCAGTGCCCACTACTTAAGACCTAGCTTTGAAGTCCCTGTGCATCTGCAAGAACACTTATTTCTCGTGGCGAACTTGCGGTTGTAACTGATTGAACGAAGGCGATCGTCACTTTTCGCACGCAAGTCACGTGCCACGCAGGGCGTGTGTGCGCGCGCAGAGGGATTTTTGAATCACCCTGTGCAGTGTATTCGCAGTTACCATCCGAATCTGTTGGACGCGCCACGAGATGACATACAAAAAATTTGCTCACTGTTTTGCCTGGGTGTGGAACGTGGTCTCATGCTTTTAGGGAAGAACGGAACAAGTATTCGGCCTAAAGAATTATGTTTTAAGTGAGAAACTCCTTGTTTTATGAAAGTCAGGTTGTTAACCTCGGCACATTATGCTGTGAGTGGTCAGCTTAAGGCTCCGGCCGTCTTACCTTCTGGGAAGAGACTGAGTTGGAAGCTATGTAGGCCGAAAGTCGGGATCATGACCCTGCCTCAAGTCTTGTTTCTGAGTTATAATTTGATGTTACACTTCGCATTCCTGTGAGATGTTCGGTGCCAGGATCACGTGACGCCCCGGACTAAATTTACCGGAAAACATCGGCTCATCTCGTTGCCGCTTCGTATCACATCGAGTGCGTCGTTTGTTGCCATAGCAACCGGGCACTGAGCTGAGCAAAGCAAAAAGCATTTCGCTTTTCGTCACTTCGTTAATTATATATTCACGAATCAAAGTGACGTGTGTGAGTAATGGCGTTTGATGTTCTGACTGCTCAGAATGCAGAAAAGTCAAGGAGTGAAAAGGAAAAAGGTGGAACTTTGAATGTGCGAAATGAGAAGAGATTCGCACTTCTTCCTCGGAGGATAGAAGCAGAATGGCAGGCTGCAGGAGCGAAACGTCGTCACCGCCAAATTTTGTTAGTTTAGAGATGTTTCAGAGTCCGAGGTTGTTAGCACAATTACAAGAATTCGAACGCACATTTTTAAGCAACTTAAATATTGTAAGTGCGTGTTTTATGAGTACGCACCTTCTGGTGATCCCACAGTTAGACGCTGCTCTGCTGAAGACACATTTCTGGTCTCTGCAGACCCGTGGCCAAAGCACAGCAAATACCAAGCGAAACTTGTGTCGAGGCGGCTTAAGACAGACAACGAACGGCTCAGCAAGTAACGCAGAAGCTCGGATGCCGAGGGAGAGAATTGGCGCTGTGATTTGCCCCGTCCGCCATAAATAGCAGCCAGCAAAGATTTTGCAACAAGAGGAAAGGAGACGCAGGCGCCAATCGCCTCTCGTCCCTCGACAATGTCTTTTTTGTTACGTGAGAAATGCGAAAGCATTTGCAGGAGACGTTTCTTCTGGAGAAAAAATGCACTACTTTTATCTTTTAATGACGATCGATGACAATGGAGCGTCACTTCGATCGACACACAAACTCTGGCTGAACTCACAGAACACGCCACTGCACTCGTCCAGCGCCCCAAAGAACAACCCCCGGAACCTGAAAAAACACTCGATTCTGACAGCGAATTTTCCCATTGGACTAAATTTCATAAAGTACCAAAACTCAACGTAATTCTACTAGGCTACTCGGCGATACAACTCAGAATACAACCGCCTTCTTGCTCACCGCCGTGATAACCTCCTTCAGAGTAATTCAAGATTGTACTAAAAATGCAAACAAATATGAAAAATAACAGTTATATGAAACAGTGTACGAAATGGATCGATTTTTAAACAGACGTTTTCTAAGAAGGCCTGAGGATGGTGGATATAATGCGGAAACATGTTGCCTCAGTGAAATAATTTCTTGCCGATTGTTAATGGACAATTTGATAAATACTCTGTCGTGGGTGATGGCGGTTCGTACCATCTCACGACTTCGTGGAGGATAACAATGGCATCATCGTCCCACTACGCGACTTTGAGAATCCGTCACATTTGTGTTATCGAGGCTATGAAATAAAAGAACACCACAATATCCACGAAACATTTCATAAAAATCTGTTTATCCATTCTCTAATTATTATATGCCCGGAATTGCAGTTCGTACGACAACCACTAGATGACAGCACGACCTCTTCAGCCGGAAGACGTGAAAAGCCTAAAAAGGAAATAATCTACACATGTGGCCTGACCAGTACAGAATTTGTTCTGTGAACATCCTAGTTGTATCTGTGATAAATGAACATCAAGACCAGCTGAAATGCAAGGTCATAATGAACGTATTTGATAATCGCATGTGTATGCCAAATCGGAGCATGACGTTTAGCGGTTGTTCACATCTGTTGAGCCAGCGTAGTTCACGACTGGCTACTTTGCTTGATCTTGTTAAATGAACTTCGTATTTGTGAAAGTAGCCGTTTCTAAATATTTATAAGACATATTTTAGTTCGAATTTTCATAATATAGACGTGATTATAGTGACGATTCTTTATTGGTTGCAAAATGCTAATAACCGGTGTTATGAACACGCTTCTTTATGAAATGATTTATTATTTCCCCTTCTGGAGTCTCGCCAATATGTAAATATTCCAGATTGGCAGTGGATTACATTTACCTGCATGCAGATGTTTGGAATCATGTTGGTATAATGTGTGTTTGGAGTACACATGTTGGCCATGCTGGTAGTATCGTAGATGACTGTAAAAAGGGATTAAGTGTGCTACTATGTCGGTCGTTTAAATAATAAATTATTATTAGTGGAATAACATTTCCATGGCAAACGCGTAACTACGTAAGAATCTCAAAATCACGATGGACACTGCTGTTTGCAATTTAATACAATTTACGTGGTTTGAAGCAATGACCTACGATGTTCCGCTAATCGCTGTTCATTATTCCCGCTATTCCCAAGTCTTGCGCATAAAGCCGTCTGGAGCCATATGCAAAAAAGAAGTAGGTTATCTATGTTCTGCTCTGCACAAGGGTAGGATATTCCAGTTGTATTACTGGAGTCTTACATCATAAATTCTCAATTTTGATCATTCTTATGGCTCCAGGTGACAATACTGATAGTGGGATCGAATCTTTGTCATCGAGCAATAAGTCTCTGGCGACAACTGGCAATAAAGAAATGGAACCAGAAGAAATTGACGATGAGGTACGCACAGTCATCGTATATGTTGTAACACTCTACTTTCTTTGTAATATGTATCCTGAAAGCGTGTAAAGACGATAAATTTATAAAAACTTGTTGCGATTATAATGACTTTCATCAAGCGTGTTTGCCACGTACGGGAATATAGGTTATGTCAACCCTTCTGCTCTTGGAAGTTTTTTGAGATTCCTTCAATTCTCTGTAGTCTTTGTTTACTTTCGCACTGCGATTTGTAAGTCGCACTAATTTTGCATATGGCAGTGGGTCCAGGACAATACTTATATTCTAGAATGATTGATTGATTTCAATTAGTCCCCCATCATGTGTATTGTTCCTGTCGAAGATTATGCTGCTCATACTGTGCATAAGAAGATCATAATTATATAGTTGCAAAGAGATGAGCAAACTAGATTATTAAGCTAATTATCAGCACTTGATCTATTCTTGAAGAGAGAACCTGTACAGAAGTTACATCATTAAGATTACATGCTGTGTGTTATGAAGTATAACTAAATTTTAATTGTCTAGCTACAAGAGTCACATTAATTTTACATTAATATGAAGGCCAGTGACATACTGGGATACTGGGAATGACCCGTTCTTCAAGTGCCTGAACACTGCGGGTCCCAACTTTTTGTTGGCTTGATCTATAGACATTTTGGTAGGACTCTTTGGATGAGGGATCGGCCCGTCGCAAGGCCTCTACCTGTATACAGGACAGCACAGCACAGAAAAACGAGGACAAACATCCATGGCTTGAGTGGAATTTGAACCCACGGTCCCAGCGACCAAGCGGCACAAGGCCCACGCCTCAGACCGCGCGGCCACTGCGGGCCCGCCAGTGACATACAGATAGTAAATCTGGATTTTTCTGTCTCAGAATGTTGGTGTACTGGCAGTTTTTCATTTTTCTTTTTCCCCTTCTGGATGTAGTATCTGTTCCCAGCCTCAGTTGCAACGTTCTGTAGCTTTGGCTTACACTGAGAATTTCCCGAGTCTACTATATATGACATTCAGATTGGCTAAAAATGCATGCTGTGCCCCACAGTTTCTGTCTCTTATACATTTAGTGATGGTGGAGGTTGGTTTGTCAGTGAAATACCTAATTCAGATTTAATAAATCCTTTGTTTGAATTTGGTTGTTTTGACAGATATCCTTCACTTCTCCCAAGAATATGTCTAGATGTTTCTTATTCTGTGTGGTACAGCTAACAAGAAACGTCAGCTGATAATTATTGAAGTAGTAGCCCCTTTTTGAGTATCATTTACACTTGTAAAGATTATGTGTTCAGTATGCCACATAAGGTTTCTTACCACTGCTAGGTTTGTAATTTTTAGTTAAGGTAATGTAATGTAATGTTTTATAGGTAACAACAATGCTAAGTAAACAGATGACGTTTCCTTGGTAACAATAATGCCGAGTAAACAATTGACGTTTGCTAGGTAACATAACAATGCAATTACACTTTTTCCCGAATGACACTGACCCTAAAATATTTACGTCAAAAATATAAAACTGATTTTGCGTGTTTTGGGCATGAAACTTGCTCCATAACTTTAAGGGCCACAGAGGAACGCAGACTGAGGTGTTTAAGAACGGGATGGTGAGGAGAATATTTGGGTCTAGGAAGGATGACGTGACAAGAGGCTGGAATAAGCTGCACAGTGAGGAGCTTCATAATTTGTGCTATTCACTGAATATTCTTAGGATGATTAAATCAAGGAGGATGTGTCGGTCAGGGCAAATAGCATGCATGGGGGCAATGAGAAATACGTACAAAAATCTTGATTAGGAAGCTTCTAAGAAACTATTCAGAAGAGCTTAACATAGATGGGTGGATAATATTAAAATGTATCTTTGGGAACTATGGTGTGGACTTGATTGCTGTGGCTTAAGATAGGGAGTTTCTGGAGTGTGTGGAACTGTTAGCTACTCAGGAAGGGTTGTACTCCGTGAAAGTGGCTGGTTAGTTTATTAAATGTGAAAGTGAATTATTTCCAGATGTAAGAAAATTTTATTTTTACTATTTGTATTTGGTCTGCATCATTTATTTTGAGACTTGAAGGTCTGTCTTGACAACATTCTTAATCATCATTAATGATAGAATAGAATTAAATAAACTGTGCTTAATTAAGCACCACACCTTTAGGAAATACTGGGGAGTGAAACTTCTAGATTGCTTGTATGTTTCTGTGGGCACGTGGCTACACATTCAAAAGAGAGATATGTGCGAGTATGTGATCACTGATTTTGGCTTCATTCTTTGTTTCCAGGATTTAGATGAAACTTTATCAGAGAGACTGTGGGGGCTAACTGAGATGTTTCCAGAGGGAGTCCGTAATGCAACACACAATGTTTTCTGTAGCACCACTACTGGAATTAAAGGTTATATCAGATTTCATTCTCAGTACTTTTGTAAAGAATTTTGTGTTTCCCGAAGAAATACCTGACAAAACTTCAGATACTCGAGTCTTCTTCTGGAGAACCCCACACTTTGTTCGAATCCAGAAAAATCACATCCTGAATAATTTTTGCTGCAGAGGATTATGAATAACATGTGGAAAAATTAGCATTTACTTGTAATTGCAGTAGTATACAGACCGTTTTTTGTGTATTTATATTTTCTTAAAGAAGAATTTTGTTCACGCAGGATTGTACGGCCTTAGTCGAGTAATAACGTGGTGTGTCTTCAGTTCATCAGTTATCCTCTTTGCTCCATTGATATTAGAAGTGGAGCTTGCTCAGATTGAAGAAATGCAACGTAACCAACAAAAGCAGGTAACACCACACACAGAGTGATGACTTTTACTTTAATTAATTAAATCACTTGTTGGAGCTGTAATAGCTTAGTGAGTGTAGAGACTAGGCTGCAGGGTGGAGGACTGTGGTTTAGTTCCAGCAGATTCTGTCTTTGACGCTGTGTCCAGACTGACTCTGGGCTCATCCATCTTCTGTGTAGCAGGTGTGGGGGACTATTTCCTTGGGGTAATGATGCTTAATTTAGCACCAGTAATATCATCATAACGACTTCCACTTTTTAAATTTCAGATGCTCCTGGGGCCAAGTAGTGCTGTGTCAGGTGGCATGGGACTTATGCCACCCATTCAGCGATAAGTACACAAGCAGGAAGATGGAGACAGCTATGGGGACTCTCATTAATGTGTACACAAACTGACTCGCACACAACATGCGACATAAACACTCACAAATTGTCATGAGTATAAGATTTTGTTTAGTGAATAGTAAATATTGGTAGAACTGCTTTGAATTAAAATTAGCATAAATTAAAGCTGCAGTGAATTTAAAATTAATATTTCTCATGAAATAGGTTGTCCAAATAAATCACCTGTCACACGCATTTATAAATCACATGAACTGAAGTTCTGACTCACATACATGTGATGGTTTGGAGGATTTGGTTCAGTTGGAATGGATGTGGAGTTGGTAAGGAATTTACCATGAAGGAAACTAGGCCACGAAACTGTATACAAGGTTGAGAAGTGTTCATATTCTGTTTATAGTCTTACCTCTAGTGTGTTTTAAAATGCGGTACATGTATACTGTATGTGCGATTTTTTCTTCATTTTGTTACCAGTTGGAAAAATAAAAGAATAGCTTCAGTTTTAAAGTTTTATTGTGTATTGCAAGTGAAGTTATGTGTTCTATCTGATACAGTAATAATGCTTCATTTTTCATGTACTCTTGTGTTTTTGCAAGGCGCAGATCATTGATTGTGATTTTACTACTGGCAGTCTACTCTTCTTTCTGGATCTTCTTTACACAGAATAAAAAGTAAAAATATCTTATCTGCCCTTGAAGGCTTTAAATTGATAACATTTTTATGAAATCTTACATAATACCCACTTTAAATTTAGTAAGAAAATAATATGGATTATATTGAGTATTCATTTTATCTGAAGGCTGAATTAACTATTTAAATGTATTTTTGTGAACCGTAAATAGAATTTATTTACATTCGATAGATCCTTTAAAGGCCTAAGCCAAGGATGCGAAACATGTCACAGCACAAATACAATAATTGTTTCTCATACAAATTTAAATTACAAAGTTATGACAATAATTTGCAGTCAACTGTGGTTTTACTGCAAAAGTAATTATACAAGAAAGCATACCCACTGTTACTGTTATAATAGCTGAGAATTTTTTGTTGAGGTAAATCCTATGGAGTAGGAGTGAGATAGGAGATTCTCTTTTATTACTGGCTTAAACTTTTTTTGTACTGTATTTTGGACTTTTTATAGTGGCAGAAAGAGTATTGAATAGCTTAATTCCAATATAGTAAACTTCTTTTTGATATTTACTAAGTTTAGTGTTTAGCACTTGAAAGTGTCTTGCACATACATATTGTGGATATCAGAATTTGTTTGAAATTTTTGTTGTTCTCTAAAAATGACAGCAAAGAGCAAGAATTTGCAGGCTGCTAGAAGAATATTAATACATGAAGGAATGCTGGATGTGAATCCTTCCTGTTTCAAAATGATGTTCTTACGCCGGAAACATCATCTGTTAAGAGCAATTTAAAAACACGTAGATAAGTGTAGTTGTGACGTTGTTGCTTTCAATCAGTACGGAACACGGTAGCATTCCATGTTGCGACAAGAAGAAAGTACCCAATCTAACCAAACGTAAATGTTACATATTTCATCAAATCGAACTTATTGTGCTTACTGTTGAATTTATAACTTTATTGAATGGTGTCATACTTATGTCGAATTACCTTAAAATTTACTGCCGCGTGTAGAATTAAGAGTAACAACGTTATAAATACACGCTATCGTATTTTGAAGGTTCGCTGTTTGTTATGTATCTGTGCAGAATGTGTCGTTCTTTGATGAATGACATTTCTCTATACTTTTTGTTATAATAATGTAGCATGTATATAACTTTCGAATCAGTTTGGTTTCGGTAGTTGTGAATGTCATCGCCCAGGAGCCGTTTTCATAAAAGTCGCCGCGAGAACCTGAAGCAGCACGTTATAGAAACATATTGGAGGGAATTTGTGTGTTTATCATGTTGGCTGCGTACAGTTGTCTTCACTGGTATTTTTATCTCAGGTAAAGGCTGAGGAAGGTTGTGTATGTTGGTGTTAAGCAATTTCTTTGACAATTGTATCGTCTCCACCGCAGGTGACGTACCAAATAGCAATACTGAGAGAAAAAATGGTGTAGTATCGAAATGGCAAACACAGGCGTGTTACCGTTTGTTCGAGGTGTTGATTTTACGAGCAATGACTTCAGTGTAAGTGGGTTCATATTTTTTTTAATACATTTAATTACAAAGTACTTTCAGATTTGATGATTTTGTTGCAGATTGTCCATGAAATAGATTTCATAACCCAAACATGACATTTGCATTTACGTATTAGAAATGTTCATCACAGGTGAATTTCAGAATGATGTAGTCTGTTGTATGAATTGCAGGTACCTTTGGAAGTAGTAGATGTTTAATGCAAAGTTACTGCTTTTCAAACTTATTCGATATGAACCAATGAGAGAACGAATTTTTAATTTGGGCCATTTTATTTTGTGCTTAAGGGGTCCATGAGTTGAGTAGGTTTTTTTATGCTGTGTTGCTGTAAATTTTAAGCCTATTTCATCAATTTGTTTATATACTGGGATAAAATTGACAATAAAACTATACCTTTTATCTACATTTTAGTTAGTCTATATTCTGTTCGGTCAGAATGTTCGAAATAATTTTGAAGAGGGGGGAGTCTGCAGTATCAGAAGGGTTGAGAAACATCACCATAAAAAGTACAGTGAAGAAACTGCCATATGCATTTCTTGTTCTACAGTTCTACTGAGTGTTAATTGAGGATCTGAAAAAGGGTGTGCCACATTATTCATACCTTTCTGTTACAGGATGGGAAGTTTCCTGATGCAGTACGGTTGATGACAGGTGTTCAATGGCTGAAACTCGATAAGACAAACTTAATGGAGATACCAGAAGAACTGGGAAAGCTGTTGAAATTGGTTAGTAGTTGGCAAAGCCTTTATCATAAAATTAAAAAATGCAATGGATGTGATATGTGTATTTACTTTGTGGTGATAATTGATGAACCATTTTAGCCAAGGAGGTGAAATTTGTTATGGAGTTAAATTATGCGCAAAAATACCCACAAATTTTGTAAGCAATTTACTATATTGAAAAACCAACACACGTGGTGCTGATGTGGAACACGGTGTGGCGAGACTGTATACTGTAAGCAGTCGATCTCTGCACCGTGTAATTGTTATGTTGTAATATCTACTAGCATCTCTGCACAGAGCAAACCATACAAAGAAGAATTATGTGCCTCATTATATATTGGTCTTTGTTATTCCAATGTTTTAGCTGTGTGATTTTAATGTATTTTATTTGTAGGACCTAATTTATGGGTTCATATATGGCCTGTGATATTGGTGGCTCTTTTGACTGCCCTGTTCCTTATTTTCTTGAATGTAGATCTGCCCTGAATCTGTTAGACTACTTTACAGTCTGACATATGCATAGTTTTGTCTCATTTTAAACTGGATTAGCAGTGATATTTTAATTAAAATTTTATTTAAGTGCAAATAGCCCTTGATACTGAAGCACACACATATACACTTTACCTCCTTCAGGAACACCTTTCACTGGTACGAAATGATCTTGAACGTTTGTATGGGGAGCTAACAGAACTCGGTTGCTTAAGGACACTTAACATTCGCCATAACCGAGTGAAGAGTTCAGGAATTCCAGCAGAGCTGTTTCGTCTAGAGGAACTCACAACTCTTGACTTGAGCCACAACAACCTTAAAGAAGTTCCAGAAGGTTTGGAACGAGCAAGAGCTCTGCTGGTTTTGAATCTGAGTCATAATCAGTGAGTAACTGTTTTAGTTGCACTTGCTTAATTTATGTTCAAATAAGACTACCGTCTGTAGCCTGTTTTATGATTTGTGATTCCACATAAAAATATGCAATTTTTTTTCATGAAACTGGTAACTTTTATAATAATGTATGTTTACAAGCTATTGAATAAGCAAACTAAATGTTTGTTATAATGTTTATAGCATTGATTCAATTCCAAATACCCTCTTCATGCACTTGACGGATTTGCTCTTCCTTGACCTGAGTTCAAATAATTTGGAAACTTTGCCACCTCAGACCAGAAGACTGGCCAACTTGCAGACACTGGTTCTGAACCACAATCCATTGGGACACTTTCAGCTCAGGTCAGTGAATTCAAGATATGATGATGATGATGATAATAATAATAATTTGTGTCTGATTTCATTTAGCAGGAAAATGAACTGTGTTTTATTCATATTGATTCATAGTTTATAGAACATTTATAAGGATTAAGGATGTACTGCATATCTTTAAGAGTAGTGCGAGGGCAGTGCTATGGTACTGGAAAGAAAAGGACCACAGCATTATCATGGCTTAACTAACTTTGGATTTTAGTTCGTGAAACTCTTTTTATCCAGAATTAACCTGTACTAATCTTTGTCAATCAACAGTGTTTGTAAATTTGTTCATTTCGTTCAGTCACCATAATATCTTCAAATTGTATAAAGTTTATAGCATGTGTTATTTGTTTCAGACAATTACCATCATTGATGAGTTTGGAAACACTTCATATGCGCAATACACAGCGCACTCTGAACAACATTCCAGGAAGCATGGACAGCCTTACAAACCTGACGGAACTGGACATGGCACAAAACGCATTACCGAAAGTACCTGAAGCTCTGTATTCTTTACGAAATTTACGCAGACTGAACTTGAGTCATAATCAAATAACAGAATTGTCCCAGGCAATAGGTAAACATCGTTGTTAAAGAGATTTGATAAATCTTTGTACCCTTTCATGTGTATATGGCTTAGTACAAATATGCCATTTTACTTTTAGTCCTTATGAATTGTGAAATGCTTGCGTCACATGAAAGAGTAGTTACTGGGAATATTTCAGAATGAAGAATTACTTGAACTTAAAGTAGGAAATAAATTATGAAATTGTCTTTCTGTGGAGGTAAGTGGCAGCTTTTCATTTTATTTCGTGGTTCTTCACTTCAAGTTCTACGTGCGCAATAATTGAAGAATGCTGACAGCATTTAAAAGCGAATCACTTTTTATAACTTTACAACAAAATGCTCATTGTGAGTAATCTACTTACAGTTCCTTGGGATTATGCTTTGCAGTAATGCAATGAATCTGTCTTACAATTTGAAGTACAAGTAATGTATAAACAATTTTTAAAAGGGTCTCACTTTCTCATTGTCATCAGAATTTTGGCAGCATCTAAAAACACTTAACCTTTGCCGGAATAAACTGACAGCATTGCCAGCATCCTTATGCAAGATCACGACACTTTGTCGGCTGTATGTCAATGACAATCGACTGGATTTTGAGGGTATTCCATCAGGCATTGGCAAGTTAAATAACCTAGAAGTCTTCTCTGCTGCAAACAACCAGTTAGAAATGATTCCTGAGGGATTATGCAGGTATTTAATTGATTACGATTTGTCAATTTTAGTTAAGTTAAAGCCCTAACTCTTCTGTTTTGTAAGGACACTAATTGTATAAATTGAAATGTGTTGACCACTAAAAGTGCTCAGTATGTGGACTCCAACATACAAGAAAAATCCAGAATTTATCTTTATAACGTGGCACGGCATTCTTCAATATTTTGTGATTGAAGCCACACTAAAGTTTATTTTTGCTCTTTCTTGATATCTTTAGCTTTGCATTTCTTTAATGTGCAGTTTTTAGGAGATTCACTGTCTGAAGATGTTGACTGATTTTTAATAAAAGACTTGTAATTTATGATTTGTCTTGTATTTCTTTCACACTGTTATAGGTGTGGATCATTGAAAAAGTTGATCTTGACGGCAAATCGTTTGATAACTCTACCTGATGCAATACATCTTCTTACTGATCTGGATGTGCTAGACCTTCGAGATAATCCCGAACTCGTGATGCCGCCAAAGCCAACCGAGGTTCAACGAGGGTCAGGAATTGAGTTTTATAATATTGACTTTTCTCTTCAGCATCAACTTCGACTGGCGGGTGCCAGTGTACCAGCACCAGCATCCTCTAACAGTTAGTATATTAGTCATGTGTGTGTAGCTGTGCTTCTGTTCTATTGTAAGGAATATAGTATTTTTAATTCTCTGTACGAAAGTTTTTTTCTAAGCAGCTCATCAGTTTATACCATTCACCAAATAATATTAGCACGATCAAATCAGGGATGATGACATTTCTGATATTAGGATCATCATGCAGTTTCATTGTATTTCCAGATTTGAGCAGAGATCCAATAGCTCGTAAGATGCGCTTGCGCCGAGGCCGACGCGACCAGGAAGAGGCTGACCAAGATCAAGCAAAAATTTTGAAAGTGAGTTCACGCACATACTCTTTAATGAAATGCTTTGAGTTGTCCGTGTCTCCACTCTGCCGTTCCTCTTATCAGAATGCAAGCTTTAAGGATTCTTATCTCCTAAGTTTTAAGCAGCGGCACAATACTTTGCATGCGACTGTGTACCGTCAAATCGTTGTAGTTTCAAAGATGACAAATGTTTGCTTTTTCTACACATGAATGTCACAGTAGTAAGGCAGGAAGAGAGGTAGATAATTAAGGAGAGTGAAGGAGATCTTAGCAAAAGAATGTTATGAAGTTAGAAATTTTATTGTGACGTGAAGCAGTTACTTCAGAATTTGGACATCCTATTGCAGTTGAAATTATAGCTGTTATATGACAGTCTTTAGGACAGTACAAGGAAATGTGCCTTGCTGTTGGCACTGAAACTAGTGTAACTGTCCTGAGTATAACCAGATGAATCTAGTTCACATCCCTACAACCTATTTCCCTCGGGTTAAATAATTATTTTATTATCATCGTTATTCCCGTGACTATGTGTTGTTCATCAAGTGATCTTTATTAGGTCTTAAAACCACATTGTATAGTCCATTTGTTTGTAAGAGTTGTATGGCTGTCAAAATTTAAATCAGCTGGGTTTCAGCCAGCGTTTATGTAAATTTTTATGTATGCTTGATGTTATGTTGTCTCTCACCCATGTTCTTGAACTTTGAGATGAGTAAATTCATAATATAATTTGTATATTTCAGGGAATGAAAGACATTGCAAAGGATAAAAATAAACAAAAGACAGCAGAAGAAGTGAAAGCTGAATCTTTAAAGTAAGTAATTTATTTTTCTTTGTTACCAGGTGATGGGAGTGTTTTACCAGACCCAGTCAATATCCAAAGAAACTTTGTAGATTTTGTTCAGAATGTATTGTAGGCTAATCAAAATTCCATTATGACTGTGTGGAACATAGAGTCCTTTTGCAGAAGTTGACAGTTGCTCAGCTTTTAAAGATATTCCTTGTGTTTAATGTACTCTGAAGCTTAATTACCTTATTTATAAGATCCCACCATTGGATCCTACCCAGAGCTAGATGAATTGAGTCCATTCCCTCGTATCATATTTTGTTAAGTTGCATTGAAATTAATTTATGTGTTACGTTTGCTGTTGAAACCCAATTTTCTTTGCTATTGTAGACCAAAGAGGTGGGATGAAACACTTGAGAAACCTCCTCTCGACTATTCAGAGTTCTTCGATGGGGACGCAGGTCAGATCCCGGGACTTACCATCTGGGAGATTGAAAATTTTCTCCCTAACCAAATTGAGGAGGCAGCACATGGAAAGTTCTATGAGGGTGACTGCTACATAGTGCTTCGAACCTCTATTGATGATACAGGATCGCTTTCATGGCACATCTACTTTTGGATTGGTGACAAGGCAACGGTAAGTACTGTACCCAGCCTGGTTAGAAGGTTTGTCTGAATGTCTGTTTATCTTAAATAACTATGTTAAGTCTGGTAGCAGACTTAGAGATTCTTCTTCTTCTTTGTCATCTCCCTTTTTGCCTTTATAGCGTCAGGGTTGCTTGCTCGGTCCACCTCCTCCATTTCTTCCTATTCCTTGCTAAGAATATCATCTGCATTAAACCTTTCCCCTTTGCCTGTCCTATTTCTCTAATATTGAACTATTT